CTCACAAAGCCCACGTCCCCAAGGTGGCAGGCAAGCCCTAAGAGGTGGAGCTCTGACCCCACCCAGGAACGCCCCAGGCCCTCTCCCCCTGCCAGGGCCCCAGGGCCCCCGCGGCAGCCCATCTCTGGTGGCGGGCCATCCCGGAAAAGAGCTCTGGGCGGAGGACACACCCTGTCCTGCCGCTGTCTCCTTCCCCCACAGAAAGGCCCAAAGACCCAACTCAGAAGCCACGCTTGCTCTGGGCTCCCTCCCTGGCTCCTTCCCCGGGAAGCCAAGAACTAGGGCTTCCCGAACAGAAAATTCCAGCCGCCCCCAAGACTCCCATCGGGAGGCGTCCAAGTGGTGCCCGTTCTTAATTTGGCCAATCAAGAGACGGGTGGCAATTTACAGCTCTCTCCCTGCGAACTCTCTGGCTTTACTGCTCAGTCAAACCTGATTCCAAAACACTAATGCTTTTATTTAAACACCACATCCTGCAATAAAGCCCTAATGTGCAGCGGGATGCCTCGAGGGGAAGAGCCGTGTGTCTGCGGCCAGCCCCGGTGGCCATGCGCCCTGCTACTTCCCTCCCTGTGGCCGGAGCCGGAGGCATAGGGCAGAGATGACCTTCCTGGGGACGCTGGGCACTGACCCCTCTGGGCCCCGTGGCCGGAAGGAAGGCAGTTCCCAAGGACAAGCCTGCCTCCCGGACATGCACGCCATCGGAGTGGCCCTCGACTACGGTGTCCCCCCCGCCGCCGCCGCCCCCCCCCCCCCGCCGGCCCGGCAGCTGGGAGCCACGTGCGAGCTTGGAGCCGCCCATGTCTGCCCGTCCCCCGGCTCCTTGGTGGGCCCTTGGTGTCTCAGGGAACCTAGCTGCCCCCAGACCCAATGCTCCCAGCAGCTGGAGGAGGCGGCCTGCTGGCCTGCCCCTCCCTGTCCCACCCCCATGCAAGAGCCGCGTTCCTGCCAAAGGTCAGCGTGTGGGAGGGGCTGGGGCACCTGCCGTGGGCCCCAGGCAGCAATGCCAAGGACGCCCAGAAAAGCAGAGATGACACACACATTGGAAAAATAGCCCTGAGCCCGAGGAGGACGTGCCCTGGGCAGACACGCCGGCCTCACCCCACTCTGAGGGCCAGAGACTGGCAGAGACGCCTGGCCCCTGCCAGCCACCCCCCCCCCCACCCCACCCCACCCCCGCCGCCCCGGGGCCCTCTGCCCTCAGCCTCCCCGGAGGAGGACCAGCGCCCTGGAGACCACCTCTACAGAGGCTCTGCTCTCCTCTCCTGGGCCCTTACCACCCCGCCCCGGGCTCTTTCCCTGGCAGGGGCTGGGGTCACACGCAGACATGGAGAACAGCTCAGGCTGGTGTAGTGGCGTGGGGCAGGACCAGCTGGGGAGAGGGGCTCGGGGCCGGCCACGCTCCGCCCCTGCGGTCTCTGTCTTCACCACCACGGGCTCCCGAGGGGCCCTCGGGGTCCAGGGCTTGGGTGTTTTCAGGCAGGAGCGGGGCCTGGCACCATGGGCCTTCTGACCCTGCTCGCCGGTCCCCGGGGGACTGTGCTGCGGGGTCCCCGCCTCACAGTACGGCCCCTGGGAGCCAAGGAGGGTCCCCACGTGGCCACAGGAGCCCCTTCTCTCCTCCCTTTCCTTGCCCCGCGTGACTCCCTGACCCTGAGGGGACTCCCTGTGCTTCTGGTGCCCGTGAATAGCTTTCTGCCCCTACCTCACAAACAGCCCTTTCTACTGGCACGTGACCCCTTTCAGGGTGCCCAGAAGCGATGGCCCGGAGCCCCAGGCACCCTGCGTTCCCAAGCCAAGGCCCCCACCCCCAGCCCTCCAGCCCCCGCGCCGGACCCCACTCCTGCCCCAGGGCCCCCACCCCCAGCCCTCCAGCCCCCGCGCCGGACCCCACTCCTGCCACAAGGCCCCCTTGCCTCTGCCGCAGTCAGCACGTTGAATATTTAATGTCTGATGAACGCTTCCACCTGCTGACACAGGCAAAGTGACAGAAACAATGCCGGCAGGGGACAGGGCCGTCCACTGACGCCCAGGCGGCCTGCCACGGAGGCCTCGCCCCGGCCACAGCTGCCTGCCCGGCTGTCTGTGTGTCCGTCTGTCCCCCGGGCGGCCCCGCGGGTGAGAGGTCCCCGCCTGAAATACATACTTCTTTACATTCCATAGCTTAGGTCCATATGGGCATATAAAGAAGTATGTTTCCCAAGCAGGTAGTTCAGTGAGTACAGTCACGTGGGCTCCGGGAAGGGGAGGCCCCACGGAGGCCACGGGGCGTCTGCCTGGAGCCTTGCCTGTGCCCGAGGCCCCACGCCCTCCAGCTCTGCCCTGCCCCCTGCCCTCAGGGCTCCCCCTCTGTCTGGGGCTCCCGGGAACGTGCACACACATGGTCAGGAAGGGCAGAGGCAGAAACCCGCTCGAAGTCTCGAGAAAGCCTCCCTCGCCCCACAGTTATCTGGTTTTGCGTCAATGGAACAAGAAAAGCAAGGACCCAGGCTGTCACCTCCCACCCTCACCCCGGAGAAGGGATGCGCCATTTCCTCTCAGCACCCCCCCCCCCTCCATCTGGGCACCTTGTCCCGGCCAAGTGCACGGGGAGGCCGGAGCGAAGACACCGCAGCTCAGAAGGAGCCCACCAGGGGCGATCAGGGAACCGGGTGGCCAGAGTCCACGGGGCGCCGGCATCACTGGCCTCGAGCCCAGAGGGGGGCAGCAGGAGCCCCCGAGAAGTGGACAGGCCTTACCTGGGCAGCTGGCGGGCAGCTCGCTGGGCTGGTCCCTGGTGGTTCTGCCTCCCAGGAACCAGAGCCCTCAAGGGCAGGGCTCGGTCGGTGCCTCTGTCTTTGAAGACATGTGTGACAAGGGCGGCTGCCGGGAGACGCTGGGAGGCGGCCCTCGCCTCAGCCAGCCCTTGTGCCGGGGGGGGGGGGGGGGGGGGGGGGGGGGGGCGCCCGCCCGGGGGGGGGAGAGGCCCCCCCCTCCCCCCTGTGGCTCCTGTGTCCCTTCCTCGCCTCTGTCTCCCTCTCCCCTCCTGGCACGTCATGCCCTCTGCCACGGCCCCCAAGAAGAGGCTGGCCCCAGCGAGCAGCTCACACGGGTGCCGGGGCCACCGAGCACTGCCACCAGTTTTGGCGATGTGGCCCAGGGGCGCCTGGCTCCTGTGGCCCGTGCCCGGCCTCCACCGGGCCTGATCAATACCAATTTACTGTCAAACGCAGGGGCCGCCTTCCCGTTAATGAATTTCCCGGTGCTCACCAGCTTCTAATGAACCCGTTAAAGAGGGTTTAAGTAAACTTAGCAAGTGGCGAGCTAAGCACTTTGGAACACTTAATTGTATCGATATTGTTGTCACTGCATCTCAGAATGTCCCTGTGATAGAAGCAGCCCCTCGTCCCCATCGCCTACCTTCTACGGCCGCCCCGAAGCCAGGAGTCAGAACCGCAGAGTCTGACAGAGAGCAGTGTGACCTCTGGGTCAGGTCCCCACCACAGGAAGGGGCACTAACCCCCTCCCCCCCGCCAGCCTGCGCCCAGGGGCGTCAGGCGTCCATGAGGGGGGGTCTTGCCATCGCCAGGGTGAGTGAGGCCCGCGGATGGGGCAGTGGCACGCTGAGGCTGTCAGGTGCCTGCAGGGGGAGAGAGCCGGGGGCAGGCAGGCTCACTGGGGGCAGGAGCCGGGCTGGGCACAGACAGAGGAGCTGGGCCCAGGGTCCTGGTGTGGCCGGACGAGGCCCCGGGCCTGAACACACTTCAATTCTATCAGCGAGACAAGGCCTGGGGTGCCCCCGTGCGCCCCTGCCCACCGGGCAGCCCACTTGTCCTGTGCAGACGGGCCCAGAGAGGGTCGTCCGGACGCTGCCGTCCCCAGGGCCGGGCTGTGTCTCAGCAGAGCCTGCAGCATGCAGAGGCAAGTAAGCAATTTCTCCAGTCCCTGGGCTGTGGTGGCTGCACCGGGGACAGCCAGGCTGGGGTTTTCCGTGGGGCTGTGTGATCTGGGCTCCAAGAGGCCCCCCCACCGACAGGAGAGGGCCACCCTACAGAAAGACACCGAGAAGCGACGTCCCGTCGTCCGATCTTCGTGTTGCTGCTCTCGTCTATCACCTTCACGCAGCCCGCATGAGAAGGGCGGCCGGGGCACCCCCACTCCCCCCTGCGTCCCAGAATGTGCCCTCGAGACCCTCACACGAGAAATTTCCCTGCCAGCCTCTGACAGGTGAGGCCTCAGAGGCACTGCTCAGGCCGGGGACCCTCCCTCACCGCCCTCCCCACGCCAGGCCTTCACACGGGCTGCATCTGGGACACAGAGGAAAGTGGGGGGCTCCAAAGGGCAGGAGGGGTTAGACTAGGTCCGGCCAGAGTCCCGCGAGCTTCCGCCCTGCTCCAACACGAACCCCGGCCACTTTTCAAACAGTTTCCCATCCTGTGAGGACAGTGAGCAGTAGCCACCTCCAAGGGACCCCACGGTGGGGGGAGCAGCGGGCTGGCACCCTGCCCGGCCTCGCCTAGCACTCCTCAGCCGCGATTCCACCCCCCCCGCCCCGCCCCCAGCCGCGTGGGGGTCATGATCCCTCGCAGAGACCCCTGGCTGCTCCCCACCCCCGCCCCATCCCCCATCCAGCCCCCAGTCTCTGCCACATATGCTCCCCGCGGGGCGCACCTAGCATAGGACCCCTCCACCACCACCACCCCCCCCCACCATGGGGGCCGTGACAACTACAGAAGTCTAGTGTCCCAGCCTGGGGCGGCCACACCGCCGGCCTGGGACCCCCTGCCTCGGCATCTCCACCGTTAACGCTGCAAGTTCCAAGGTAAGTTTAACCACACTCCCAGCGCCAAGCTTTGTGCCTCGGGGCAGGTTCGTCGCGCCCTCCCCACCCCCC